GCCAAAGGCTGCCAGACACACAGGGACAACCTGCTCAGGATGGCTTAAGAGGCAAATCCCTTTATGCAGTGCAAGGAAAGGGTTATGCCCACTGCTCTGTGAATGGTTGCTGCTCCTTTCTTTTAATTTTCCTAACAAGTTTTCAGAACTCATCTCCCACTGAAGTGGCCACTGTCCCACTGGCAATTAAAATCATGCTGGGACATGCCATGGTTGTGTGCAACTCCACTGTGGGAAACAAAAGCAGTGGCAGCAGCGTTAATGATGCCAACAGTGGAGTGGTAAATCTCAAGCAATATCGGCAGAAACCGAGGCTTTGATTTCTCCAGGAGACTGAGAGCAGGCCTCGTTTACATCTTTCAACTTGAGCCTTGCTGGAAAATATCAAAAAATGAGATGACAAGAAACACCAGCTTCTCTTTATGCATACAGCCACATAGCTTCTTCAAAGAAGGATCGGTACAGTATCTCACGGTTTTTAAAAACACACCTGGGTAATTACTGTATATGTTGATGAGAAACAGAGACTATGCCTCACCTGAATAAAGGGGACCTCCACTAATTACAAAGAAATTATTACATCTTAATCAAATATAACAAAAATCTTGTTCAGTTTAAATGAAGACGAGCATTTGCCACGTTTCTACAATGATAATGATATGAGATGTACAAGGAGCTAATCTGGAAAACACAATGCACACTGTTGGGGAAATGTGTTTACACTTAACATATTTTCCCACCATTTCTTAAGGAAACCCCTGCACATGTTGCAAAATTATTCTGTGGACAACAAAGTATCAAATAGTGGTGATTTTGAAATAAGCTCCAATAAAAGTCTTACATTACAGTATGTCTATTACAAGGAATGCTATTAAATAAAATCACTTTTGCCATTCTGAGAGTGGACCAAGAATAGCTTGTTGTGAAACTGAATGTTGAGATGCTGAAACATTTATGAAGCAATCCTGGCAGTCTAGAGCTACTTTTAGCTGCCTGTCTAATAAAGCCATGGCTAACCTCAGCCAGGCTGAATAGGCTAGGAGGAGACAAGGTATAAATGAATGCACATAAAGGACTTTGCATCACATCATCATTGCTTAATCCTTTCATTCTCACCTGTCAGTCATCTACAGAGGCAACCTAATCCCTGAATATTTGTGGTCTAGTCTGCACTGATACATGTGACACGACTTGTAAGCACAGCTTCTACTTCTAAAACAAAATGCTCTTTTTGGTTTTTAAGATAAGCTGTAGTTGGGTGGCATCTTTTATTTGTGATGTGTGCCACATTTCTTTAGCATGTTTTCTCTGATCAGCAGTAGCTGTGGTTATCTCCCCTCTGTGCTCTTTACCAGTTTTCTGGTGCACATGGTCACAGACAACAGAGGCAGTCGGTATTCTGTAAGTGATTTATTATACAAGAACACATTTATGTCTTATCATGACTGTAACCTACAATCCAGGTATAATGCTGGCCTTACAGTGTTACAGGGCCTTAGTACAGGGGTACACGATATACAATCTACGATAATATCCTAAATGCTGTTTCTTTCTGTTTAAATGATGTGTGAGCTGGCATTATCAAGTATATCTCTCACTTTACAAAAAACAATCAAACACACTTTTAGACTCCACACATTCACTGCCTCACGAAGCCAAGTAGGATAAACTACTGTGTGTGCACACTGAGAGTGCACATAGTGTATATATGGTCATTGACCACAAGTTAAGCTAGCATAGCTGCCTAAAATGCATTAGCAAAGTTAAAAATGAGTGAACAACCAGCACCAGGAGACAAAATACAGACACCACCATACATTGTTAATTGCTAGATGTGGATCATCCTCACTCACATGGAGGTACAGTAGTCTGGCTTTGAAAAGATGGACTAAAAAACTAAGTTGGAAACTGGCTACTGTAAAGAACTCACCATATAAAAGCTTCGGGAGTCAGCTGTCAATGACGGGACTACGCCAGCCAAGGTACAAACACACTCAGCAAACTTTAGTGGATTCGTTCTGCAAAAGTAATTTCCATGTTTGTGCACTGTTTTACATTAATGCTCCAGTTTTAAGTACATAAATAAGACCTGGTTTTCCTAAATGTGTTTTTTTCCATTCCATTCCATAATTTTCCAATAATATTACTGGTAAGCAGAAACAATTAATATCCCATTAACAAGAGTGACCTTGTACAATTTTTGAAGGATGCAGAATATTGTCTTTTTACCGTTATTGACAAAATCCCAGAAAATATCCAGATATCATTTCCTGTCAATGTTGCACAGCCCTACTTATAACACACAAACGTTTCACTTTAAAATTCTCCAAAATATATGTAGCTATGCAAATCCCCTGAGCAAGTCGATGTTGTAATACTTTGTACATCAAATTTAAATGCTGACTAAATTAAACGCCTTATTGTCTGTCTCTGCCTGTCTCTTTACAGTGAAACTGTCCATGTTTTGTGGGGCAGTGTCAGTTATGGCTGCTGATACAAGTTGTTTTTCCTGTGATCCTGTCATCCCGGTGCAAACACCTTCAGTTGTTTACAGTGAAATGCCCTCTGTGTTCACCTTCACTTCCTGTCTGTTTTCAGCATTACTCTACGTGCTGTACATACTGTGTAGTTTTACCATACTGCAGCATTCAGCAGTGGGAGGTCATTGGCAGGGTTACTTGTGAGGTCATTGTTAGCCATGAGAAAATTAACGCTGATTGGTCTTGTCACGATTGGCTCCCCAAAGCCCGTGCCACCAAGGCACCTGCCAAGACGAGCTTCTTTAAACAAGAATGAAGTCTATTTAACAGCTGCATAAGCAGCCAAGCAGGCAGACAGCGGAGGGGAAAGAGGGACAAAAGAAAGCAAATGCAAAACAGAAAGGACATTCTAAATGGGAACCTCAGAGTGTTACCTCTTTTAAAGGTCTTAAATCAATTGAACATAAAGTACAAACCCATGCAATGTTAATCTATCTGGCTTAATCCCATTGCTTTAAGATCCTTTATAATCCACATTCAATACCACAGTTTTTCTTCTCTAACAAGCTTGTCCTATAACCATTTTATAAATCATTGATTCAAGGTTTCTGCAGTGCCACAGATTCTGTTATGGTGTCTTTATCACACTGAGTTATCAATCACTCAAGGTGGAATGACAAATGTCTAAGACCTGTAGAGCAGCTCAAAATATAGTATTTTCTTCTGAATCATTGCTGAAAAAAGTAAATAAATAAAAAAAGAGTAAAGAATTATTAAGACTACAAAAGGATTCAATGGTAAATGGATATTTCAATTTCTGCCCACTTAAGCACACTCCAAGCACAAACCAGTATTTGCCCCTTCACACATACACTCACACCAATGCTGATGGCCACCATGAGCAAGGTGTGGTTCTGTGTGTTGCCTTCTGACATGTGAGATTTTTGATACCAATACCTTGACTTTGGTACCGGTTCCTAAGTGATACTTTTTTCTATACCAATTTTATAAAAATCTTTGTTTCAAAAAAAAAAAAAAAAAAAAAAAGAAACACTAGAAGCATAATGAAACATCTGAGGTATTTTTCTGCACCTTGCACTTTTATGAGCAAGGCTCAGAACACAACAATTTAAAGTGATATATATATCTGTAAGGCATGTAAGAAACTGTGGAGAAGCACCGGGAGTTTCTCAGCCATATGCCAATGTCCTTAAGTCATGTGCTCTGGCTTTGAAAGCCTGCACAGCCAATTCCTCATTTGAAACCTGAACAACTCTTTAACAATGCCTCTCTCTGATGTGGTGGGAAGGAGAAAATCTATTATCGATTTCCACCTGGTGTAGGTGGAGAAGGTCCTGATAGCAATGCTGAATGGTGTTACACTGTACTGTGCTATAGCCTGCACATTAAATACGTTTGGTAGGGGTGGATAGTGTGAGAGGGCATGTCAACAACCCCTTGACTATGCCACAGCACCATCTGCACCCACTGAATATTTAATTATCAATAGAACTGCTCAAGACAGTAATCAAGAAAGGAAAAGATAACACACATCCTGATGCAGTGCTTATACGACAGTTCCTGAGTGGGAGTCTGGCTTTTTTTTTTTAATCATCTATTGTTTCATTGCTAATTGTGATCATTTCTGCATGCACGGACCACAATTCAAGATATTTCTAAATCACTTATGTCATTGAGTCCCACTTCAAATGCTACAGAAAACAACTCAATAGACATATAATAGAGCCAGTAAATGGAATCATCACTGTCAGTGAAAAGTCACCAATCATTTCATGTCAGTTCATTCAGGCTAATATCACGCTATTCACATAAAAAAAAAATCCTGCCATTTCACATTTATGAGCAACTACAGAAATTCTGCAACAGCCAAATCAAGACAGGAGGGTCTTGATTCCAATTTCTAATTCTCTGTTTTCCTCTTTTAAACACCAGAATAAAACCTTTCAATCAATAATAACATTTTCCACACATCTTTAGCCTATCTGCTGTCAGTCACAACCCCATCAAGCTAACACACAATTTACCAAAGTAAAATGGTTTCACCACTTCCAGTCTGCAACAAAAACAGACAATAAAGCTTGATTTTATACAACTGCAGCCAAAAATTGGAATTCAGTGCTGTAATAATAAGAGAGTTCATTTCAAAACGCTGGCCATAAAAAACAACTATGACGAGGGATGAAAGGCAAATATAAGCATGATAAAAGCACTAAAAAAATGAAGCAGATATAAAACAGCAAGGTAATACAAAAAAATAACATAACCTCAATCATGCTGAAAATTTCCTTTATGTGGAATATGTCCAACTTTAATTGCTTTGGTGAAACAAAAACAGACAGGGTGAGAACAGTAGAGCCAGACTAGGTATTTCTCCACAATAACAAACAGACAACAGCTGCCTCTTTGTATCAGCTGTGTGAGCGTGCAAAATTAGGTAAGCTGGTGACATGAGATATAATCATTTTCTCTGAGCAAGGTTAGTGACCAATTTATTCTTACCTTAGGCTGGGCGCGACGAGGAAAGGCAACCTTAGGATCAATCTGAGAATGAGAAAAGAATAGCAAAATTGTTGTTAAGGGAAAAGCTTTGATATTTAAGGGTGAAAAGCAATCATCAGGTGTTGAAAATATTTCTTAAACTCTCAGCCCTCAAAAGGACCCACATGGTCAGGTTTTAAATCCCTTCTGGTCACGTATAAATATTAGTGTTTTAATAGCAGTAATACATATTCCAAATTTTAATGTATTAAAATTTCATACTTTTTACTCACAGTGATTATCTGAGCTATTAAAATTTACAAAAGCTGCATAATCAGCCTGTGGCGATACAGGCAGTCTGTTTTTAAATCTGAGAAGCATTTTCAGAAACTCCAGCTGCATTCAAGAGCCGTCAAAATTATTGCAACTGCCTATTAAGTGCACATGAGTGACCCAACAATGTAGTAATAAGAACTTAGAAAGGACGAAGTAGCACAGTGGGTCTGCTACATCAGACCTGACTTTTCATATACCTGAAAAATCAAATCTGGCATGTTTTAACCTCTGTCCCACAATCTGGTTATTCTCAAGATAGACTGGGTTTTGGCTAGGAGTAGTTTATTATCCCAGTACTGAACGTAGTTTTGTTGAAGTCAACGTAAACAATTCATGTTATACTAATAGCAAAAACAGCAGCTAAATGTTCTAGTCATTTTAATTATTACATCACTTCCTGGTTCAGTGTATTTTCCCACTGACCAGTTCATTTGTAAAATACCATTTAATGCTCTATACGATAACATAAGCTTATTAGTCAATGATATTAATCCCTACTCTTAAACAGCCAATCATTCATACTTGTTGTTAATCTATCAGCTGTTTCCTTATTAACTGTATTAGTAGAGAGATTTGGCCCAATAGCTGATTTCACTTCAAGTTAATTAAGTTTATCAGGATGGTCCCTGTGGAGAAAAAAAAACAGCATTCATTTTAAGAATTTCTTTCTAATGACAGTATTAAATATGATATTAGGATTTGGAGAGAGCTGGCCAATATCACTGACCTCATTACTTACGGTAGCAAGATCTCCACAATTAATGGAACTCAAAGACACATTGTAGGCACAACATGTTTCCACTGGAAAATGTACTTTAGGAAACCACATAATAATAACAACAACAACAACAACTTGTAATTACTGTGTGCCTCCAGACCCAAAATACTGGTGCTACCATATTATCTGCTGGTTCTGCTAACTGATGTGTATTAAAAAGAACCACTACTATCACACAAAAATGTGAATGTGGAGGCCAGAATGACGGACCTTCTGCTGGTCATGGTTCCAGCAGAGAATCACTTTTATTTTAGGCCGGAATCGCTGATTGAATATGACAGGGAGAAAATGAGAGTCGGAGGCCGGTGACGCCTCCAGATATTGCCAAATAACCAAGAGGATGCATCAGATCAGCCTGTTTCTCCATCTTGAGCTTGTTATCTCATTAGCTTCATTTTCCTCATTAATTTCACTGGTATGAAGGTATGCGGTGTGGGGTCTCATCGACCTTGCACAGTGAAGAGAAACCATCTCACACAGCAATGTCATTCTAAACTGTCCTTGCCTGTATGCCTAGGATTCTGAAAAAGCATCTCCAAAAAAAAGAAACAGCTCAAATTTGTTCTTTGGCAATATATTTCTCTCTTGTGTTTTAACAAGGAAACCCTTCCATATTGTCCCATATTTTGCTGTGTGTTAGTCTACCCATTCTACACATTGTTAAAAGTTACTCCCTCAGCTCAGACGGATTTATTAGACAAAAGAATCTGCTGTGGAAACAGCAGAAAGAAAACGAATCAAGGAACACAAGGAAAAAAAGACCCCATCTGCACAGTTCAATTAAGCCAGTGAGACTGACTAGGTTTTAATGTGTTTGAAGGGAAACCATGATCTGCAATGTCATTGTCATCTTTTCTGTCAGTCTCAGTTATTACTGTTATCTTTCTAAATCAGGTCAAAATGAGAAATGAATTCAATAACACCTGGGTATGGCAACCCTGCTTGTAATGAATTTCATTTAAAGATTTGTTTTAGCACTTAGCCCCAGGCATAACCAATTCAAACTCAATTATTTTGTGCACTCTGTTTGAGCAAAGACAAAAAAATTATGTTGTGAATACCAAAATCCTATACTTGGGAATGTATCTCACTTTTTAAGCCTATACAAAACATATCAAACCTCATTTCTTCATACAACAGAAAGTAATTGTTTTTCTGTCCTGCTGAGAATTTCTATTCACTGTGAAGATTCCTGTTTCGACATGCACTAGAGATCACTTTAACAGAGTACCACAATGGAGGTCAGAGAGTTTTCTGTCAGTTTAAAATATTAGAATTATCAAAGAGAAAAAGTTCCATTCGACAGATTCGGTAAAAATGAGGCTGTGATACTGCCGTTTGTTTAAATCACACTCAGAGCACCAAATTAGGCAGTGAGGACTAACTAACCAACCCTTCTGAGAAATGCTGGAGCAGCACCTTTTTAGGTCACAACTTATGATGAATGACTCCTTTGAGAAATTTAATTTAAGAAGATGGGAGATGTAGCAATTGTTTCCCTTTGGTTTACATATTCATTTGCATGTGATGTTTATGTTGGAAGTGCCTTCATAGGAGCTAAAATATGCATCATCCATTGCTGGAGAACTACACCACTGAACCAGAGATTATGCTGTCTCCGTTTCACCTGATAAGTCCTTCCTGGAACATTATTGTGATGTGACACACACACACACACACCATCGGGGTTGGGATCAGTCCACTGGACCTGGGTAGTGCACTGTAATTCCACATTCAGTACTTCAGCAAGTGTTATTTCATCAACACCTTAAAAATATTAACAGTTTTAAAAAGGCTTTTAGTAATTTATCTTTTACATGTTGGTCTAATTTGTTTTTGATAAAGTCCTTTTCTTAATGGGTTTGGAGGGGAAGAACACAGCCTTATTCTTGCTGTGCTGTTACGTTCATTTAAATTTGTACATTTTCTTATTTCTACCTACATCAGATGAATGCAATAAGTTTAGGCTTATTCTCTGTGGCTCCCTGAAAATGCATTCTGTGAGAAAACTGGCATAGAAGTAAGAAAGGAGTTTTAGGCAACATGGACCAAAAAGCACAATAAAGCACTTCACCACAAAATAATTCTCATATTAACCATCATAAATTGTAGTCACATAACCGTAGTGTGGACAGCTGGACCTCCCATCCAGCTGTAGCTGTATGGTTATCATCTAACAGCAGTAAAAGTACTTTATTAATCTCCCTCTAGGAGATTTCTTTATCACGGAAACATCACAAGCAGTGCATACAAACTAAAGAGCACATAGCTATTTAGAAAGCAGACCTGGTGCTGAATGAACAACCTGCTAAGATTCTGCTCCACCTCTGAACATTACATTTTATTGGTTGCCAGATTAGCTGCTCAAATGGTGGGAAGCAGCACTATTAAGCAGGTAAAGCAGCTGGAATTTACCTTTTCCTTTTATTGTTTTCAATCTGTGAAAGTGTAAAGGTCATTGGGACCGTTAACATTTATTACCTTCGCCAAGGTGCAGGTAATGTTTTAACCGCCGTTTGTTGGTTGGTGTTTTCCACAGCATAACTCAAAAAGTAATGAATGCATTTGGATACATTTTTGGGGAATTTTATACTGATCTGGATCCTCAGCTGGATCTAAACATTTTTTAGAGGCTTCTTCCCCATTGTGAAATAAGGTCCATTTTAATATTTTTGCTTTTAACTTCACACATAATGCTCACTATGTTTGGACAAAAAATGCACAATAACATCCACATGAGATCTACCACACAGCAAAATATAATCTTTATTCAAGTAATATTCTGGACCTGCTGATCCAGAATGTTCATGTTTATAGGGCACACAGAATACTTGCTACTGTGTGACAATAAATGATGCTACAGACTTGAAACTAAGATCAAATTATCTCCCAGGACCTGAGGTGGGCATCCAACATCAGGACCATCACCAAGAAGGCACAGCAGAGGATGTACTTCCTGCACCAGCTCAGGAAGTTCGACCTGCCCCAGGAGCTGCTGATACAGTTCTACAGAGGAATCACTGAGTCTGTTCTCTGCACCTCCATCACTGTCTGGTTTGGCTCAGCAACCACACAGGACAAGTACAGACTTCATTGGACAGTCAGGACTGTAGAAAAGGTCATTGGTGTGAGCCTGCCCTCCATGGAGGACCTGTACACCTCACGGGTCAAAAGGAGGGCGGAGAGGATCACTGCAGACCCCTCACACCCCGGATACAATCTGTTTGAACTCCTCCCCTCTGGATTGTTTTACAGGTCACTGTGCACTAAGACAACCAGGCACAGGGACAGTTTCTTCCTCCAGGCTGTCACTCTGATGAACAATTGACCCACGACAGTATGACTGGACGATAACCCTCAGTGCAATACCTGTAAATATACATTGTACAGATTATACAGATTCGTAGAGGTCTCTAGTTTTAAGTACTCTGTTTTTATTCTTATTTTTATCGTTTCCTAAAGAACATTTCTTTGTCTGTTTGCATTGTTTATACCGTTTACTTTGTTATACTATACAGCCTAATATTGGTATATTGTTTACTTGCCCTTTGCTATTGCCCTACATAAGGATATGCACATACACATTAAGAGCCGCTGGACCAGAGTCAAATTCCTCGTGTACAACACACCTGGCCAGTAAAGCCGATTCTGATTGTGAAATTGTAGGTGGAACTCTGCTGACTCAGCAGGGTGTCAACAGATTTGACATATCTTCTAAAGTTACTGAGCTAGATCCTGATGAAAACTGCTATTACTGAAATATTATTTTTCTTGAATAACTTAAAGTTAATAATGATATCAATCTGATTCCAAATGCTAGGGATAGGTGTTCATGGCTATATTATGACCAGGACACTACCATGGGAATATTGCTTTTAGGTGTAATGGCATTATGGGGACAGTGAGCTGCCTCGGTGCAAGTCTGCTCTTTCTGAGTGCTGTGTAGTTA